AGACCCATTCTACCCCCGAATCTTCTCGGGGCTCACAGATTTCTGTGTTGACACCCACATTTTCAAATACTGAAGACTTGAAAGCGTCGCCACATACATGCGTACAACCATGGAAATAATCATGGAAGAATCGAGTGTCTTTAAAGAATGAAGGTTCTCTATTCAAGCAGTATTCAGAAAGTGAACAAGCAAAGTCATTAAATACTAGTTCATGTGTTGGTGGTTCAGGTAGGTACTTGAACATAGAAGAAAATGGATCTTTTCTGCCTTCGCTTTCAGGAATTATGTGGAACCCAACACTGACCATGAATGGGACAAGACCAGAAAAACAAACTATTAGGGAAGTCCTTGTTACATCTTTCATCTGCTGCTGGTAGGTCATCATAAATTTTAGTTTTGCTGATCTTGTTTATATTGTAGATAGGGAGTTTTCTAACCTGTTCTCCACTTTCAGTAAAATGATATGCCACACCACTTTCTGGATTGTAAGATTTAGGGATGCGATGTGCATCCTGGTAAGCAAGTTACTTGAAAAGCTTTAATTCTATACAAAAAGTCATGACAGAGTTCATCAACAATGGCGGTTTCTTTGCTCCTAAAGTGAATGCCTTCCTCTTCCCCTGTATAATACAGCAAACATTTGCCATTACTGCACTTTCTGTAGCACACAGTTGCCTTAATAGGGGCTAGTCTGGTGTAAAGTGTTGTTTTTGTGCTGTACTGCTGTAGTAGGTTAATGCCATCTGGTGTTTGTACATCATGGAAGGTGCCCTGAAAAAAGATTAAAGCTTGGTGCATGATTGATAACGCAGCAAGGACCAGTGGTAGCATATGAATTGGACTTGACAATTCACGTATTGTCCTGAGTACCATTTGAGCATTATCTGACCCCTACAGTATACAACCCGTGAAGATCCGGGGTAGAATAGCTCTTCAGCAACCCATGCTTGCCGTAAAAGGCGACTAACGGGATCGGGTGGTCAGGCTTGCTGACTTGGTTGATGCATGTCATCGATCCCAATTGCGTGGATCGATGTTCATGATGTCAATCACTGGACTGCCTGGTCCAGACACGATTATTTACAGACCACCGTCACATAGCTGGAATATTGCTGAGTGCGGCGTACAACAACCGACCAACCAGTGAAGTTTGCTGCTGTGATCAAGCTGAACCTTGGCTAATTGGAGACCATATGCTAAGGATATTGTCCAAAACCTATTGGATGGCTATAAGTACATTAATTTTGTAATCCTCTTTGATGGAACATTTTGTACATAAGAATTATAAAAAAAACTATAATGTGCTCAATAATAATAACAACAATAATCATAATAATAATAATAATAACAACAACAACAAGTTGGGCTTGAGCGACTTTCATATACAGCCAGTCCAACATGATTGTTTTCATAAAATATACTGAATGAGTATCATTTATTTATAGCAGAGTATGATAGAAGGTGTGAATTGTATCAATTTAAAATGTTGTTGTTACATGTGGTAAAGAAACTGGGGAAAAAACAGGTGGGGAAAAAAACAGTTCATAATTACAGAGTTAGGAAATATAATGTTGTAAAAGATTCGCTTGAAAGTAGAAAATGTAAAACTTGATTACATTGGTGACCTGATCTAGGTATCATCCCCCCAGACGACCTGGGTCCTTTCCTAGATTGCTCAGGAATCTAATTTGAACACACTAGATATATCGTTTATGAAAAGAAGGGGGAAAAAAACAATCCGAAAAACCCCAGACTATGATTTAGTTTCGAGAAGATATCTACTTGTGAAAAGTTTAAGGAAAGCAGTATGACAACATAGATATAATAGTAAAATCATCATTCATCTACAGCAGAGTATAACAGAACAAAGTGTCAGTTGGATTTGAAACATCAGAGTGCCGAGGAAAAACTTCTCGTGCACTGAGTAACCAAGTTGGGCTTGAGCGACTCTCATATACAGTCTAAGAGCCAGTCCTACATGACTGATATCATAAAAAATATACTGAATGAGTATCATTTATTTACAGCAGAGTATTACATTGTTGTTTGTTTGTTTGTTGTTTAACGCCGCACTCAGCAATATTCCAGCTATATATGACGGCGGTCTGTAAAATAATCGAGTCTGGACCAGACGATCCAGTGATTGACATCATGTGCATCGATCTAAGCAATTGGGATCGATGATATGTATCAACCATGTTAGCGAGCCTGACCACCCGATCCCGTTAGTCGCCTTTTACGACAAGCATAGTCGCATTTTACGGCAACTATGGGTTGCTGAAGACCTATTCTACCCCCGAATCTTCACGGGGCTCACAGATTTCTGTGTTGACACCCACATTTTCAAATACTGAAGACGAAAGCGTCGCCACATACATGCGTACAACCATGGAAATAATCATGGAAGAATCGAGTGTCTTTAAAGAATGAAGGTTCTCTATTCAAGCAGTATTCAGAAAGTGAACAAGCAAAGTCATTAAATACTAGTTCATGTGTTGGTGGTTCAGGTAGGTACTTGAACATAGAAGCAAATGGATCTTTTCTGCCTTCGCTTTCAGGAATTATGTGGAACCCAACACTGACAATGAATGGGACAAAACCAGAAAAAACAAACTATTAGGGAAGTCCTTGTTACATCTTTCATCTGCTGCTGGTAGGTCATCATAAATTTTAGTTTTGCTGATCTTGTTTATATTGTAGATAGGGAGTTTTCTAACCTGTTCTCCACTTTCAGTAAAATGATATGCCAAACCACTTTCAGGATTGTAAGATTTAGGGATGCGATGTGCATCCTGGTAAGCAAGTCACTTGAAAAGCTTTAATTCTATACAAAAAGTCATGACAGAGTTCATCAACAATGGCGGTTTCTTTGCTCCTAAAGTGAATGCCTTCCTCTTCCCCTGTATAATACAGCAAACATTTGCCATTACTGCACTTTCTGTAGCACACAGTTGCTCAATAGGGGCTAGTCTGGTTTAAAGTGTTGTTTTTGTGCTGTACTGCTGTAGTAGGTTAATGCCATCTGGTGTTTGTACATCATGGAAGGTGCCCTGAAAAAAGATTAAAGCTTGGTGCATGATTGATAACGCAGCAAGGACCAGTGGTAGCATATGAATTGGACTTGTAAATTCACGTATTGTCCTGAGTACAATTTGAGCATTATCTGACCCCTACAGTATACGACCCGTGAAGATCCGGGGTAGAATAGGTCTTCAGCAACCCATGCTTGCCGTAAAAGGCGACTAACGGGATCGGGTGGTCAGGCTTGCCGACTTGGTTGATGCATGTCATCGATCCCAATTGCGTGGATCGATGTTCATGATGTCAATCACTGGACTGCCTGGTCCAGACACGATTATTTACAGACCACCGTCACATAGCTGGAATATTGCTGAGTGCGGCGTAAAACAACAATCAACCAACCAACCAGTGAAGTTTGCTGCTATGATCAAGCTGAACCTTGGCTAATTGGAGACCATATGCTAAGGATATTGTCCAAAACCTGTTGGATGGCTAAGTACATTAATTTTGTAATCCACTTTGATGGAACATTTTGTACATAAGCCTTATAAAAAAAACTATAATGTGCTCAATAATGATAATAATAACAATAATCATAAGAATAATAATAACAACAACAACAAGTTGGGCTTGAGCGACTTTCATATACAGTCAGTTCAACATGATTCATTTCAACAAATATACTGAATGAGTATCATTTATTTATAGCAGAGTATGATAGAAGGTGTGAATTGTATCCATTTAAAATGTTGTTACATGTGGTAAAGAAACTGGGGGAAAAACAAGTGGATACAAAAACAGTTCATAATTACAGAGTTAGGAAATATAATGTTGTAAAAGATTCGCTTGAAAGTAGAAAATGTAAAACTTGATTACATTGGTGACCTGATCTAGGTATCATCCCCCCAGACGACCTGGGTCCTTTCCTAGATTGCTCAGGAATCCAATTTGAACACACTAGATATATCGTTTATGAAAAGAAGGGGGGAAAAAAACAATCCGAAAAACCCCAGACTATGATTTAGTTTCAAGAAGATATCTACTTGTGAAAAGTTTAAGGAAAGCAGTATGACAAATAGATATAATAGTAAAAACATCATTCATCTACAGCAGAGTATTACAGAACAAAGTGTCAGTTGGATTTGAAACATCAGAGTGCCGAGGAAAAACTCGTGCACTGAGTAACCAAGTTGGGCTTGAGCGACTCTCATATACAGTCTAAGAGCCAGTCCTACATGACTGATATCATAAAAAATATACTGAATGAGTATCATTTATTTACAGCAGAGTATTACATTGTTGTTTGTTTGTTTGTTTGTTGTTTAACGCCGCACTCAGCAATATTCCAGCTATATGACGGCGGTCTGTAAATAATCGAGTTGGACCAGACAATCCAATGATTGATATCATGAGCATCAATCCACGCATTTGGGATCGATGACAAGCATCAACCAAGTCAGCGAGCCTGACCACCCGATCCCGTTAGTCGCCTTTTACAGCAAGTATTGGTTGCTGAAGACCTATTCTACCCCGGAATCTTCACAGGGCTCAAAGATTTCTGTGTTGACACCCACATTTTTAAATACTGAAGACTTGAAAGCGTCGCCACATACATGCGTACAACCAAGGAAATAATCATGGAAGAATCGAGTGTCTCTAAAGAATGAAGGTTCTCTATTCAAGCAGTATTCAGAAAGTGAACAAACAAAGTCATAAAATACTAGTTCATCAGTTGGTGGTTCAGGTAGGTACTTGAACATAGAAGCAAATGGATCTTTTCTGCCTTCGCTTTCAGGAATTATGTGGAACCCAACACTGAACATGAATGGGACAAAACCAGAAAAACAAACTACTAGGGAAGTCCTTGTTACATCTTTCATCTGCTGCTGGTAGGTCATCATAAATTTTAGTTTTGCTGATCTTGTTTATATTGTAGATTGTCTCCACTTTCAATAAAATGATATGCCACACCACTTTCTGGATTGTAAGATTAAGGGTTACGATGTGCATCCTGGTAAGCAGGTATAATTGTGTAAGGAAGTCACTTGAAAAGCTTTAATTCTATACAAAAAGTCATGACAGAGTTCATCAACAATGGCGGTTTCTTTGCTCCTAAAGTGAATGCCTTCCTCTTCCCCTGTATAATACAGCAAACATTTGCCATTACTGCACTTTCTGTAGCACACAGTTGCTCAATAGGGGCTAGTCTGGTGTAAAGTGTTGTTTTTGTGCTGTACTGCTGTAGTAGGTTAATGCCATCTGGTGTTTGTACATCATGGAAGGTGCCCTGAAAAAAGATTAAAGCTTGGTGCAAGATTGATAACGCAACAAGGACCAGTGGTAGCATATGAATTGGACTTGTAAATTCACGTATTGTCCTGAGTACATTTTGAGCATTATCTGACCCCTACAGTATACGACCCGTGAAGATCCGGGGTAGAACAGGTCTTCAGCAACCCATGCTTGCCGTAAAAGGCGACTATGCTTGTCGTAAAAGGCGACTAACGGGATCGGGTGGTCAGGCTTGCTGACTTGGTTGATGCATGTCATCGATCCCAATTGCGTAGATCGGTGTTCATGATATCAATCACTGGACTGTCTGGTCAAGACACGATTATTTACAGACCGCCGTCACATAGCTGGAATATTGCTGAGTGCGGCGTTAAACAACAAACCAACCAAAACCTACAGTATACATTCTTCCAGTCATCCTTAATGTTGTAAATGGATATAAAATATATATATGCCAACATCATTTGATTGGGCAACATCAGACAACTGAAAGCAAAGGCTGTCAGAGTGACTTTTGGGTAACAAAGTTCTGTTTGATAAGGATACAAAAGGTTAAAATGACCTCCAACTGTCAGGTAGTTTCTTAAGCTGTTTCTTAACCATGTGCCCCTGGCGAGCAAATTAGGATTTATTTAATAGTTTGGTTTAAAATAAGCATTTTTCTGAAGTTCTTAAATTATGATGCATTATAACATTATACATATATAGTAGCCGAGCAAACGTTCCCGGATTTCCCATTGAAACCTATATTATTATGCCCCTGAAAGAGGTATACCTTTTGTATACATTTTGGTAAAGTTTAATGTATGTAGAATCAAAATAAATTTGTCGTAATGAATTTCACATGGACGTTAATCTAGAAATTTGGAACAAAATATGCATCGGAAAACGCCGACATGTCTGTATATATAAAAGTAGTTGTCCATACATCCTCAGCTGGGAGTGATCTCCCTTGTTGGCACTAAACGTAAACAAACGCACAATGGTCACAGGAAATAATTAATGAGAAAAATACTGCTCATGCAAGACATATCACACTGTTAACGTTGGTATTGTAGCGAATATAAATTCAAATTATAAAGATTTATTAAAATATACAGTGAATATGCTTCGGGAAACGCCGACCCATACATTTCATTGATAGCAGCGTGCCACTTGCCATGTGTATCTGTATTAAATAGTAGGATAAATTGAATATTTTGGCTAAATGATCGTAATGACGACAAACGTTGTGTAATATTTTTTTTTTTTCTGATTTAATAAGACCAAAAACAAGAGTGCTAGTGGTATGAATTAGGCCTAGACACGGCGTACACCGTGCCGCACTGCCAAAGGTTAATACTGCTTTCCTCCTCGCTAATAATGATTACAAAGGCGTCTGTCGGTTTACACGTTCTTATAGCAGAAAACACAAAGAAAGCAAGTTGAATATTTTCTGTAAGAAAAACACAAGCAAAGACTTATGATTTATTTACAGATTAATGAAGGAACCTTGCAATTCAAGCAACCCCAGCCCTCTAAAGCTGGCACCAGTAAGAAAAAATCTAAGTTCTATTTTAATGATGTACACGAACAGTGTCTGATTTGTGGGCTAAAGGACGGGGACATCACATTGGGAACAATCCATGGTTCAAAAAGTGTAGTCTCAGCTGCACACAGTCGTCAAGATGGAGTATTGCGTCGCATCATAAACGTCAAGCATGATGATTCACTGACATTATCATACCTAGATCTGTCAAATCAATAAAGTGGTCGTCTTGTTTAATCTGTGGCTTCAAAAAGCATCGTGGTAACAACAAACTACACACAATTCAGTCTTTTGAACGAGCTGGTGACCTAAATGCAGCAGCAATAGCAGTGGGGGACATGGGTGTAATTGAGAGGATAAAAGGGGAAGTGAGTGAGTGAGTATGGTTTTACGCCGCTTTTAGCAATATTCCAGCAATATCACGGCGGGGGACACCAGAAATGGGCTAAAAGGTGAAGATTCAATTGCCAAAGAAGGTTTATATCATGAGACTTGTATGAAACGATTCCTGAGAGCAGCCAATCAAGTACAACATATGAATGACAATGACGATGATCACACGATTTCTGAGAAATCTGTGTATGATGAGGCATTTGCAAAACTAGTGAGTGAGTGAGTTAAAGCTTTACGTCACATCGGCAATATTTCAGCCATATCGTGACGAGAAATTTCATTTATTAATACATATGTTTTAACTATATAAAAACCTGTCATCGATGTAGAGTAAAATTACTAGAATATCACAGATTAATATTTAAAACTAGCATACAACTATAAAAGATATCACTATATATAACGGTACAATATAAAAAAGGGCTATGGATCGCCAGCAGCTGAAGGTAGATCACCATGCTAGGGTCCATGGGGACTTACAGTACTTTTGCTACCTGCATGGACCCCAGCCGGATTTACATCATCCCTTCCGCTGTTGGCGATTAATGACAAATCTAGCCAGAATAAATGAACATATATACTACGTCTAAAAACGAGCAGAAATAAACATACTTTGAAAGACGTGGTCTGACATACCCTCTCAGGGGGACAATAATTTTACACTACTGCAACCCCCATCAAGGATATAGCCACTAACAATCTCAGTTATTGAATAATTCTACCAATTATAAAAGTTATTTATTTATTTACAAAATATATCAATCAAACTTTATGTAGTAATTCAATTTCCTTTAAAAACCCAATAATTAAATGACTACTTACCTGATAAAAAAGATCCTTGATACATGATACTTTGAAATATTGATCCCTTGTGATGGAAAACATGCTTGACCGTGATTCTTTCATCACAAGGGATACAGAATGGAGGATCCTCACCTTTAAGTAAATATTCATGAGTATAACGTGAGTGACCAATACGACATCGTCTTAATACAACCTCTTCAAATCTGGACTGACAGCCAAAGTAGGTGTAACCAGTATTTGGTTTTATTTCATGTAATTTATTGATACCTACTTGGGCGTCCCACTTCTTTTGCATCAGATCACGGATGTAAGATCTAATTATAGGTTTATAATCACTGTATGGTTAAAAGAAGTGGTGTCACAGATTTGTCGAGTGCTGCTTTTGCAGCAGCATCAGCCATTGTGTTACCAGTGATACCAACATGGCTTGGTAACCAACAAAAGACGATGTCATATTGGCCAGTCGCAAGATCATTAAATAACTCAAGAATTTCACTTAAAAATGAATGTTTACATGACATATTTTTAATAGCCTGAAGGCACGAAAGTGAATCTGAAAAAATAAAGAAGTCTTTATATTTGGATTTCTTCTTGATATATTTTAGTGCTGTTGAAATTGCGTGCGCTTCTGCTGTGAATATGGAACTATTATCTGGTAATCGTGAAGATACTGTTCTGGATCCAATGATGGTGGCACTAGCAACGGCGCCACCATCCTTTGATCCATCTGTAAATATAGATTTATAAGTGTCATAAGTGTTTCTTAATTGATTGTATTCTTGTTTATAAATAAGAGGATTTGTATCAGATTTCTTAAGTCTAGTTAATGTGAGGTCTACATTTGGCCTTACCATTTGCCAAGGAGGCGATGAAAAAAGTTGTGTGGGAGCTATATCCTGAAAGTTAATGCAAAACAAGTGGAGGAGATAGAAATCGATCTTTTCACGGAAGGAAAAGCTCTATCAATGGCAAAAATCACAGCAAGATATAATGAACTCATAACAAATCAGTCCTCAAACAACAGCAACTACAAAAGTGACAAACTTAAAACGAGACTCTGTTCCTTTTTCGGCGACAAAATATCAGTGGAGAGGATTGCTGGCAAGGGGTCACCAAACATGTTACTCAGCAGTTCCATAACTCTGGCTGATGCAATCCACGCAGCGCACATACTCAAGGGGGAGCTACACTTGGCAAGGTTTGATGGCGATGATGATGATGATGGGGAGGCTTTCAATGCGGAAAACAAAATGTTAACTCTTAGAAATGCAGTCACGATTTTGAGACACAACATATTGCAAGTCAAAAAGAAGGATTCTTATCCAGCCTCCAGTGGGGTTTCTCAAGAGGCGTCCTAACAGGTTGTTCCTGACAGTTTGTTGCAGTTTGTACTATGGTTGATAGACAGAAAAGCTTTGAATGCAGTTTTATACACGCCGTCAGATGACATACATCGAAAGGCAGTTGCTCTTGCAGAGTGTTTTGTTTATGCCTCAACAAACACAACAACCCCTTTTCATTTGGGTCTAGCCATTCAAATGCACCATGAATTTGGATCTCGTAGCATAAGAGATACGCTGCACTCCTATGGAGTTTAGCTTAGTCGGAGTTACACAGAATCAGAGATGGCATCTATAAACCAAGTGGCATTGTCTCACCTGCAGATGGTGGATTGCTTATACAAGAGGGTGATGACAATGTGGATATTAACTGTGAAACGGTTGATGGGAAGAATATTTTCCATTCAATGGCAAGGGTTGTGTTTCAATGTACAGATAAGTCAAAGGCAGAAAGCACTGACGTACCGCGATGTAATGACAGATCTCTGAAGCTCAATGATGAAATAAACTCTACATTGCATGTACTTCCTTTCCTTTCCTTTCTGTGCATACATTACTTTTCAAGCCTCACCAACGTTTGTTAGCTCTGGATTGAGGGTGGTATGGAATCAAAAGTACAGACAGACGAAGGTTGATCCCCGTTCATGATATATTGTGATGGCCATCACAAAGAATATATAAATATTAATGAGTCTTTATTATAAAATATGTAAGTTATGACAGCTTGCAAAAATTAGAAATATTTCCTAAATATTTCCCTGTTGTATTTTTGATGGTTATATGACAGTGCACGAATTATATCATAATTATCCTGTAAACCGTAATTAGTTTTGCAGGTATATATCAGTATACTTTTGCCAACCTCGTTTTTTTTACGTAATTCAATGTTTTGAATCCCGTTTTGGTAAGAAATCTATCAGAGGATCATAGCATGCTTTTATAGAGCTTCATGGCACACTGTTATCTCGTAAAAATAATCATATGTCCATGCCATCATGTTACGCATATTGTTTAGGATGTGCCAGTACCTCATAAGCATCGATGTCAACAACGTGCCTGTCAAAAGGATCTTGTTTACTTTTTTCAAGAGTTTTGCATTGACCGAAACTTTTGAAGAATTCATCGTTCTAAGCACACAGTTACGCAAATTAACCATCAGATACAGATTAATCATACCTTTGTTCTTCAACAAACAGATCACAATCACTTGGCAGCTTGATATTTATCCATATTTGTGTGAATTTGTGATCAGGGCTGAGCTATGTGTTTCGCCGACGCCCGCCATTTTAACTTTGTGACAGCTAGCCTAGGTCGCGATGAAGTTACTGAATTTGGCTTATGCTTAGCATTTGGCATTATAAAGTTTATTTAATTTACCTCCATTCAAATGCCTGATATAAAAAAACTGTCCACATCGTTTTTATTACGACATGCATTTTTGTAATCCATAAGTTTCAAGCTTTCATTTGATATATAATATGACTATACCTCTTCCTGGGGCAAAATGATCATCACTTTACGGTCTCGTTTCCTGCTCTATAGCATTTAAGTCAATTTGAGCAGGGGTGGATAAATCCCTCCAGTCTCTATGTCTAACACTGGTAATACTGGTAATACTGTGCTTGGAAATTCATACATACCCCACATGAACAGTTTTCTGTTAGTGCAGGACAAAGCAAGATATTACTGACAAAACCGGATTTATCTGTTTGGTGCTGAAAGCACCATTTTTCATGCAAGTGGATATTTCTGAAATACAACAAGATATGTCCTAATCCTTTAATATACAATATGATACACAATATTTTAACAAATAGCAGTGGAGGAAACAATGTGCACTTGACATGTTTTAAAGCCCCAACATCCGATCAGCCTAATCGGGGTGCATGCGGAGTAAATATTTTACGTATAAGGAAAATGGGCGGAGCTTACTATTTATAGTAACCCACGTGTCTCAATCTAAAATACATGCGGTAATCGGCAACAGGTGAACACCATTATGCACATCATCGTAGGTAACAAATGAACGTTGTTAATCTATTAAAATCATTTAAATTTTTTTACCTACGTTTACTCGAGGAAAATGGCGACATAGTCCTTCCAAATCTGATCCCACATGTTGTAAGTTTTCCGTTTGAGGACTTTGGTCTCGGCCTGACGTCTTGGGTTTCTAGCATTCATGACATATCTTGATGATGTTGTTGGTCTATTTACGTGTTCATTTCAGTCTAATAGTGCCATATTCGTCCGAAAACGATAAACATCGTCAGAAAAATTAATTCTTTTGTTATGATATTGTAGCAGTGAATTGTTGAAACTTTCAACAAAAAACGTGTCCATACAATGAACGTAGTCGTCGGTATGTTTATACACAACAGTATTTTTCAAAGCTTGACACAGAAGTAGCTCAGCCTTTGGGTCACAAATCAGTGTTTTGGATGATTCATAGTGCGCGTCTTGTCTACATCTCGACGTTTCTGAACAGTTATTATGGATATCCTTGTAATGATTGACCACATTCATAATATTTTCGCGGAGCTTGTTGGCATCTTGATCGCAGTTCCTAATGCACCAATAAAAATGAGTCTTGATACTCCCTGCTTTGTCCGATAACTCGCGATGCCACGTCACACCCTCTTTGTATTTTGGACCCAAACACACACATTTAACCTCCTTTGTAACATTTTTCGTAGCGTGCCATGTGTCATTTGTTGACGTTGTATCAGGGCGCTCCTCCCTGATACATTTATTGATGACCGGATTCCTGTCATGACAATGTAATTTCACATGTACTCCGACACCATTGTCAACACTATCAAGATATTCATAGATACGCTGAGTTCCAATAAGTTCGTGTTTTTGTGTGCAGGCATTGTCTACTTTTGATACAGTTTCCGTCCTGATAACTTTGTGAGTGTTAGCTCCAATGCAAACAACATCAGTAAAACGGGAGTTTTTCCGTGTGGCATGGCGAGCGTCAGTGAGAATATTAATTCCATCCATATTCGGGTAGGTCACAATTTCTTCTAAAAGTGCATCCTCGCATGATCCACGACTTATAATCACAAACGACTTCTTTATAGTTTGAAAACATGTCAGATATGTAAGCTGAACCAAGTCTTCAAATGTCAGCTGCTTTCGCAAATCTGTCGTACTGATTGGGTAACATTCCAGACACAAGGTATCCATGACACATGCGAGAGTTTACCAAATATTTATTACCAAGATAGGGTGAACTGGGCCATATTATCACATGATCTTTTTCACATCTGAAAGTAACATAGGCAACATGTCCAATCATTTTCATGTCCAATTTCTGAGCAGGAAACGAGCATGAGACAAACTGTGCGAATAAAGACGACCACAGAGCTTTTCAAGAGCATTTTCAGAGGCACAAAACATCTTTTGATTGCATTCATCCCTATTTTCACACTTGCAGAATGAAGAATCACGCGTAAAAGATTCGTCAGTAATATTCCCATCATCTGTTAAAACGTTTGCACGGACTGGATCGATATTTTTCTCAATAAAATATGAGAAAGTATTATCGAGAAGTTGTTTGTTTGTCACAAGATTAGGGTTCCCTTCTCCGAGAAAAGTTTTGATTTTCTTCGCTTGTTCATAAATGAAATCAATCTCGTCTCTGTTTTCAGCTGAAAAGTTAATTTTTCCTTGTGGTGAAGTTTTTCTCTCCGAATTTCTTCGTTTCACAGCTTCTGGATTGTCTTTTGAATATTTTCTCTTAATCCCGTTACTATCGCTTAACATTCTAGCAATACCTGCCATTTTTAACAATATTCGTCACTCTAGATCTACAGATCGGTTGCATAAAATCAGCAGACAACAAATAGAGAAAAGCGGGAAATTGGGCGTGGCTTATGTAACCCATAGGGGTGTGACAGGTGACTTTCGCTTTTGATAAGAGTTTAACTTTGAGACTTTTTCGAGAACCTAACTTGAGTTGCATATATATTGTTTATATAATACAAAATTGGTCGGTTTTGATTGTTTGAATGCAATGAATGCCATTAACCCTCCAGACCAACACAACCCATCCAACCCGTCGTGTATTAGACTACCCACCAACGCTTGGGTCACGCGACATAAGAAACAGCTGACCAAAACAACGCGCTACCATTATTTGGAGGGTTGTAGAGGGTGCTTTACATAAGTTGAAATTTTGATTTATGACGACTAGCCATGCCTAAATATGCTTATTTGTAATGTGAAATGATACTTATTCACGGTAAATAATGAAACATTCCTTAAATCGCTACAAATCGTATATTCATCAAACTTTTTCATGATGTGTAATATATCTTTCATATAATGAGCGCTTCCAAATTCTATCGGTTTCTAATGGGTGTCACAACCAAGAAAATTTTGACAGGTCGCTTTCACGTTCGTTCACTGCTTATATATTTCAACGCTTTCATGATGTCATCCAAGTTCACTATTACACTAAATGTTGATGAAATGCAACAAGAAGCCATTCGAAGTTTATTCAATTACTCGGGATGGGATTACGATGCCGCAGTGCAGGACGTTTCGTCGTGTGATGCCAGTGTTCAGACGCGGGAAAGTGATGCAACGATTGACGAAGCCTTGGAAGACAAGTTGAGTGATGCAAGTGTAGATGTCACCGGTGAAGAAGATTCGTCAGAGAAACCCCCTACTTTTATTGATGCTGAGGATGGAGTGAACGTTTTAGATTGTGATCTGAATGTCAGTATCGACGATCGTTTCCAGGAAATTCAGGAATGTGAATTTTGTTTTTGCCGCCCGTGTGTGACAACATTTCCTCAAAGATGGCTTGGCCGAGGCTCCGCCCCTCACGACAGAAATAGTGGGGTTCGCAGGACTATTTACAAGAACTATTGGTCGATGTTGGATAGACGAAATGCATGGAGGAATCCAAGGTATCTTTCCAAGAAGACAAGACTGTTGAATCGTAACCATTTGGACGAAACTGTTGTTTGTGTGCGCCGGGAAATTATGCCCAATTGTGTTTTGAACCATGTTCGTGGATTATATCCAAACATTCCTAATCGGGATTATATGGGACATAGGTGGTGGTAGTCCTCAAAACTCTTTCCAAGAACTGTTGGACGATGTTGGACAGAAGGAATGATTTGAGGAATCATCGAGGGATCTTTTCAAGACTGTTGACTCGTGACTGTACGAAACTGTTGATGATATTGATAATTCGGACTAGTGTGCGCCGTGAAATTATGCCTGATTGTGTTTTGAATCATGCATGTGCTCGTGGATTCAAATACATTGTATATTCTGAATATGGATTTTATGGATGATACGTGGTGATAAATATGCTAAATAAGTTGAAAGGTAAGACGTCTCCTGAAGTAAACATCGACTATTCATAACCTGCATATTTCTATAAACAAGCACTGTCTACATATTTCAAATTAATCATCTGATTTGTAGAAATCGAAGTAAGAATTACTTCATATTGTGTATATGTGTAAACTGTTATATTAACATGTCCACCAAAGATGATAGATTTGTGTATGAATAAACTACATATTGTCGACATTATAACTTTTATTTATTTTGTATAAGTTAATTTGCATAGTCGCTTTTACAATGTTTTCGCCAAATGCGGTGCCGTTTTCGCCAGAGAAATCGGTGACGTTTTGCTGAGGTGACGTTTTAGCCTGCACTCTTTACAATTACTAGACCTGTCGTGTTTGTCCTTTTGCATAAATGTGAAAGAAATATAAGCAAACTGTAATGAGGTTTCAGTAGCTAGATCTAGATATATTTTATTTGGAATTCCCGTGTAAAAAGTTGTTGGGTCTGACTCACAGATTGTTTCATGCGGATGTGACATTTCAATGCAAGTCAAAATAGTTTCCATTCGGCAACTTCACAACATACCTGCACAAAACAGTCGTAAACTGTATGGGTATGTGTTCATTGTGGTACTGAACTTAACGTCTTTGTAATGCCATTTGGTAGTTTCTTGGCAGTTTCGTTGCAAGTAAACAAACACTTCGAGAAGGTGTGCCATGTGCGAGTTCGCCACGTGGTTTACTATAATTAGATTCGCTCGCGCAGTAGATGTCAGCTGACCGAAGGCTAACTCCTCCCACTTCTGTTGTTTCACAGACGACTGGATTTTTTACAACCAAACATCAGATCGAATGTAATATTTTTTTATATCGTGTGACTTTTGTTACATTGACTGGTGTAGGGCAAATCTGTCTGCCAAGATTTGGATGTGAATGTTGTCTCGTTCTTTAGTTATTCAAGATTTTGGGTCACCGATTACTGGCTGACCGATCATCGCAACGTCTGTCAAACACTAAGATCTCGCAAAATACCGCGCTATTTATAGTCCGGTTGGGACTTTAAGTAATAAGGATTGACTTCAATAGCTTACATTAGAATTTAGATACATTGTAATTCCATTCTAGTGTTTTGTTGTCAGACCATATGAAATCTATACACAAATAGTTCACACAGCACAGCGATTAAGGATAAAAATACTACTTACTCCCTGTATTTTGGGCAACTCTGAGGAGTTGGAATATGTTTACTCAGTGATCCATAGTCCCATAAGCCAGTGTCGACATTGATGTTTGACTGGTGATGAAAGTGCAAACATTAGCAATACCAAAAAGTGTAGAAATAAAAACCGATCTCAAGTTTTATGAACATGTTAAAAGGAAACTATTCCAAGGATAAAATCAGCAATTTTGAGTGAATGGAAAGAAATGTGCCTTTTATCAACCATATATTCCTGAACAGTATTTATCGGTATTTGACATATTATATTTATTACTACTAAGGAAAATGGATGCATCAGATGTGAATTTAACAACAATCCATATATCTATCATAATAAGATACAAAAGACGGTTTTGTTGCACGGTTTGACATACCTTTTCAGTGAATGTAGATGAAGAAGAGCTCATTAGTTCCTCAGTACTCTCAGTTGGTGTTGAAGGAATCCAGAGTTGTTGGTTTTCTTTCATTGTCAATAAATGTGGACAGAGCCTTTGGGAACCCTCTAAGTTCTTTACAGTTTTAGATTTTCCAACAGAACAAAGTCCTGATTGGCATGAAATAGTCCAGTTTTCATTGTTGACATGTACAAATTCAACACTTTCATTTCTTCCTTTTACTGAATATTTGGTTACACGAGGAGATTCTGCAACCAGCACTATTTCCTGATTTTGCACTAACATTGAATCCCTTAACTTTTTTTATCTTTGTCAGACTCAGGTTGAAATTCTGAATTGAAGAGACTGTGATAATCTTGCAGTACATACTCTTTCACAAACCGGGCATGCATGCATGTAACACCTGATGTGTCTAGATAGGTTTCTTCTGTGTCCTGATTTTCAATGTCACTTTCGCGTACATGGCTAAGCAGCATCTTGTAAACAGAACAAGAACACTGGACATGTGTTGTATCCTCCTCATCATATGCTTGTCGTTAAAGACGACTAACGGGATCGGGTGGTCAGGCTCTGCTGACTTGGTTGATGCATGTCATCGATCCCAATCGCGTGGATCGATGCTCATGATGTCAATCACTGGATTGTCTGGTCACTCGATTATTTACAGACCGCCGTCATATAGCTGGAATATTGCTGAGAGGAATAGAAGACCTATTCTACTCCGGATCTTCATGGGTTCCACGCAGTTGGGATTGATGACATATATCAACCAAGTCAGCGAGCCTGACCACCCGATCCCGTTAGTTGCCTTTTACAGCAAGCATGGGTTGTTGAAGACAAATATTCTACCCGGATCTTCACGGGTGATGTTTAAGTGAGACTAAAAGTTGGAGATGCGGACATAAAATCAGTTTCAATAGCCACGAATGGGAACGTTTCCATTTTCATGTATGACCTCAACCACATTTCTCGTCATGATATGACTGAAATATTGCCGATGTGACGTTAACTTTTAACTCACTCAACCACATTTCAAATATGGCTGTTGTCTGGATGGATGTTGGGAGCATGTTTGAAATAGCTTTCACTCATTTACCAAAGTATTACAAACAAACAAACTTCATCGGTAGTGAAGATCCGGGGTAGACTTGGTCTTCAGCAACCCATGCTTGTCGTAAGAGGCGACTATAACGGGATAGAGTGGGCGGCGTTCAACAACAAACAAAAATACAACAGTGAGTGAGTGAGTGAGTTGGGTTTAACGCCGCTTTTAACAGTATTCCAGTTATATTGCGGCGTGTCAGCTTAATTTTTGAGGAAAGCCCAAAGTGATGCAGGTTTCAGACGTTTACCACCACGAGCACGGGTATGGTGCTGACAAACCTAGAAACATAATCGGGGCGAACCGGGATTCGAACCCACAATCATAGGTTTCTGGCGTGCCCAAGGGACGCAACTCTGCATAGCGAATCGCGGCGCCTTAGACGACTGGGCCACCCTTGCCCCCCAAAATACAACAGACCTCCGTCATGTAGTTGGCACCTTTACGCAATCACCTGGTATCATCATTATTTGCGCCGTGATATTGCTGGAATATTGCTAAATTTGGTTGGTTTGTTGTTTAACGCCGCACTCAGCAATATTCCAGCTAATTAGAGGCGAGAATAGTTAATTAACACTAGTACTGATAGGATAGAAAATGTTCAGACATGACTCCGCCTGTACCGTTCATGTTAACGAGGATTCATTGTGTAACTTTCACACCAAGTGACTCGCCTGTATATAGTATTTTAATCTGAACGTTGTATTATTTGTTTGTTTGTTTGTTTAACGCAGACATATTCCAGCTATTTGACGGCGGTCTGTAAATAATCGAGTCTGGACCAGGCAATCCCGTGACTGTCATCATGAGTATGGATCACCGCAATTGGTTGGTTGGTTGGTTTGACGTAAAACCACAAACAAATCTCACCAAAGCGGCGTGGAATTATTGGCAAGATGAAGATGGCGAACACTTCATTAAACTTGTTCACCCGTGAAGATCCGGGATAGAATAGGTCTTCAGCAACCCATGCTTGCCGTAAAAGGTGACTATGCTTGTCGTAAGAGGCGACTAGGATATTGCTGAGTGCGGCGTTAAAACAACAAACAAACATTAAACTTGTTTATATACGTTATGACGTCAGGGACTTGTGATAAGCACACTGTTTCTGTAACGTAAAGGTTTTACCTTCTCGACGTCTTACTAGTACATATGTCCAGCATCATAAAGTAATAATTGGACTCGGGGTGTTCGCGGTGTGAATAATGGGCTGTCGATTTAGTTAAGTATTAAACACACAATACATATAAATTCCAAATGGGATCATAAACGGACAATCGTATTTGCATTCGGACATTCTCCTTCATATATATTGCACATTACCGAGTGAGAACATCCCACAATTAGTGATTCAGTGTTACAGCTACAGGAAACGTTATTGATAGGTTAAACTGTGTATACACAATATGTGTGTTGCAGGTTGCATATCAGATCCACATAAGGATAGACCGTTACTACTGGTACAAGTCCGACGGTTCAACCACACGTGTAGCTTAATTATCTCTTCAAACAGTCAGAGTAATTTTAGTACGTAAATTATACACAGAAACGGACTTGGCCACGCTTCGTGTCCCCTTTCAAACATGATTTAGAGTCCTCTTGTGATGTCTTGTCCTCAGGGGGGTGTATCATGTGGTAAACAACAAACCAACCAACAAATAAATAATATAAGGGTTCTTGTATGCGCCATTAATTAAATCACGTCGCCATATGGCTGACATAATTCAGTTTTAACTAACTCATTAATTAAAGAGTTTATAAAAATGTCTTGTACTTGTGTACATTCTGACTGCACATTGAACATTAAAATGTGTCATCGTGTGAGACAAAACACGTAATCAAATATAACTACCACTATCGAAAGTCATCACCTTGCTTCCTTCTGGGGTAATTGTGGGTTGTCCACATGCCATTCCTCGCAGAAGGGTAGCGTGACTTCAATATGCATGGGTACGTGATACAGATAAGATAGGAGTCCACACAATCTCGTTACATGCATTTGCAATACATCATGCTAAATGCTTATCACAGAGTAAACAGTTGCTGAATTCCTCCTATGGCACGATTGAATGCTTGTACAGTGACAGTCAAAGTGTTTATAACTGTCTAATTACAGTTCGTAACACCTTATCATACTAGTTCTCCCCTGTTTACTAAACATTGGTAGGATTTCACTTTAGCTGGGCCGGTCGGTCAACATTCAGGGTAAATATGTATTACTACTACTACTAATGACATTTATAAATCCACATCACAGGGACATGATCAAAGTGGTAGCAGCATATTTACATATATAAAAGATTATATACGAATGTCACTAGGAGTAGCGTTGGAAAAGATAAGGTTCCAAACCGGATTTAAAAGACGGGAGAGTTGGTTTTGATACCATTGTCAAAGGGAGAGAATTCCACCAGAAAAAGCGAAAGCAACGCGGAAAGATCTTGCGCCAAAACCCTTTAACATCAATGTTGATACTTGCAGCTGTAATTGATGATATGACCTAAGAGTTCTTGAACGGACATATTGCATTGTGAAATCTTCAAGGTATGCAGGGGATGTTCCATGTGCACTGATTGAGATGCCAAAGACGGGAGTTTGAAATCAGTTCTCTCTATACTTGCAGCCAATGTAGAGACTTCACAGTTGGCCTAATATGACATTTTACTTTAGCCCGATTTAGATGATTCTTGCAGCAATGTTTTTGATTTTCTGCAGCCTGTACTGTTGATGACTGTTGCAATGGTCGATTCTCGAAAGATCTCTGCATCATTGGTGATCAGATGACAAATTGCCAATGTTTCTCAGATGGTTATAACATATCTTGCTCAGACAAGTCATGACTTCTTTCATGGTGAGACTTGAATCCATTTGCAAGATAATTATACTCCTAGGTTCTTGACAGCAGATGCAAATTTAACTCTGATGTGCCAATGGTAAGATGGATGAGAGTGCATTTCTGAAGTCTTTATGGAGGTGCAATAAGGATAACTTCTGTCTTTTCCTCATTAAGTTTAAAGTGTTACTCGTCGTCAACGATCCCACGCTGGTAATACATGATTCAATGGTGTTTCAAGCACTTTTCTGACAGGTTAGATCTTAAGCAAAGCTGTTGAAGAATATAAATGATGAGCAATTTGTTGATCACAAGTGGTTTCGTGTCCAGGTTGAAGAAGATAGCCCCGAGAACAACTCCTTGTGGTGCACCGCATGACAGCAAGAGCATTCAGAGGATGAGTCACGACACTACTATATCAAAATCTTGAAGAATTCAAATTCACAGAAATGTCCCCTAGTAAAGACGATAGAAATGGGTAAAGAATGACACTTCCTCACTTGTGCTATAGTTTGGACCATGAAAAGGGCAATATTAAAATTTATCAAATGTGTCCCTTAATATAGTTGCAACTGATATTATGAAATATGACTTCGCACATTCGATTATTTTTTTGCAAACATTTGGATGTTTCAAAATATTTTATTATACCTTATATAGGTTGCGTTTAATATGTGAATAAAAAATAGAATATTGTCTATAGTCACCTGAAAATTAAGAGATTTAGTATGTCAGTCATATGACTCTACGGTGTATATTTATCAGTCAGTGTCATTCAGTAAAAGATGAGTCGAGAATCATAGATGATCATATATTCAACCCATACTGATTTATCGTTGTATTCACTGCCTCAACACTGATGTTCACGAACGTAATGTGTATTTTATGATTATTTTTAATAACCACTTGGTGTCTGAAAAACATTTTGAATTTCTGAAAAATATTTTGCTTTATAGTTTATCAACGTTTTCGGTGTATAATTGATATATATGGTTTTCGTTCAATAACATTACATAAGTGCAGGATGGGCGTACCTTGATACAGGCAGAAAAATGCTACAGTAACTCCACCTGGAATCAATTATATTCAATATTTTACGAAACTGCGTATTATTTCATAAGGATTTCATATGTTTCGGGGAAATGATGGCAATGATCAGCGGTGGTCATGTGTGTTTGAAGGTAGATAATATACACTCCAACATTAGTTTGATATAAAACATTTCTCAGGGGAACGTATGTCTAACACACCACGCCTGTGTTTGTACGGTATGTGTATTTACACTGAATAGTTGTGTATTGTTCTGTACTCTGTGATCGTATTAAACAGTCGTAATGTTGACATTACTGTGCTGCTTATGATCACCTTCCTACGCTACACCAAATTTATAAACATAAGAGATAAACATCAGCAACCCTTGCAGCTAAATCTACAACTACTTACAGGGCTACTTCTTTGCCATATCGACCGCCTCCGTGGTCTTGTGCTTAGAGCGTCTGCCAAGGGAGTTGGTGGTCGGTGGTTTCATCCCGGGCCGTGGGACACCAATCCGAGGTAGTATAGATCTTCGGCAACCAATGTTTGCCTTAAAAGGCGACTATGCTTGTCGTAAGAGGCAT